TTTGTGGTTTGCAGCAGCAAATAAATGTTCCTGATTCCAAATGTGATCTCTATTAATCCCAGTTTTACGCCTACCACTCCAACAATAGCACCAATTAAATTCTGTTTTAAAGGAACTTATTTTTTATTTCTGATAATCACCACAGTTATTGTCGGCCCTGCAGCTTGTAAAGAAATCAGCTGTGAATCATCATTCTGCTGTTAGAAGAGTCTGCTACATGAGAGAACGTCTATCAGTCTGGATGATGCGTTGCGTCTGCGGAGACGGGCCGTGGTGGACACTGTTCTGCTCCGTTTGAGCACCATTTGCTCTTGATGTCTGCCTGGTCTGGGCTCTGCTCGATGCAGAAGATAGAAATTAAGTGAGGCCTTCAGTTAATGAAGAGAAACATAAGCACCTTTATTCTTTTGCACGTGTCCATAAAGCTGCACTGGAGGAGTGAGTGGGTCTGGGTAACTCGTAGAGGGGTGATTTATTTATTTTTTTATAAAGACAATGTTGTTTTATTGCTTAGATTTGAATATAAACGTCATAATTATGGAGAATAAATAGATTGTTTCATTCTTTTCTGTTGTCATATAAGGAGTTTTTTTTTGTAAAACTTAGATGATAAAAACGGAACTGTTTCAAGTCCATTCATCCAGATCCTGGTCACGGGGCTACTAGCTTAAGTGGAGTTCCTCGGAGGGGCTCCAGGGTGTTCCCAGACCAGCCAAATGATGTCCTTTCTCCTCCCCAGGGAGGCATCCACAGCAGCTCGATCTGGGTTAAGCAGAAACTCTGGTCTGAGCTCGGCCTGCCTGCCTTTACCTTACAGTGGGGTCCAGAATCTGCTGATATTGAGTGGAATCCATGCGTCCTTCCACTTTAACAGGATTCCCAGTCCCTGCACTGACCACACAACCCACATCATGATGGAACCACCACCATGTTTTACTGTAGGTAACACAATGCTGTGTTCGTTTTCCTCCATGCATAACGCCTCTTGTTATGGCCAAATATGTCAGTTTTAGTTTCATCAGCCCACATAACCTTATTCCAGAACGAAGCTGGCTTGTCCAGATGTGCTTTAGCAAACCTCTAGCAGCTCTGTTTGTGCTGTGGGTGGAAAAAAGTCTTCCTCTGCATCACTTTCACATGCAGCACCTCCTTGTGTAAAGTGCACCGAATAGCTGAACGATGCACAGTGACTCCATCTGCAGCAAGATGATGTTGTAGGTCTTTGGTGATGGTCTGTGGGTTGACTCTGACTGTTGTCACAATTCTTCTCTTCTGTTTATCTCAGATTTTTCTTGGTCTGCCACTTGGAGCCTTAAATTGAACTGTGCCTGTGGTCTTCCATTTCCTCAATATGTTCCTAACTGTGGAAGCAGACCGCTGAAATCTCTGAGGCAGCTTTCTGGATCCTTCCCCTAAACCATGATGGTGAACAACCTTTGTTTTCAGCTCATGTGAGAGTTGTTGTGAGACTCCCATGTTGTTGCTGCTCTTCAGAGGATATTCAAAGAGGAGGGAAACTTACAATTGACCCCCTTAACTACTCTTTCTCATAGTTGGATTCACCCGTGTATGGAGGTCAAGGGTCACTGAGCTTACCAAACCAATTCAGAGTTCCAGTAATTAGTGACAACAGTGCCCACATTTGTGCACCTGTCTAATTTAGACAATTATTGAACACGTTTTTGTAAATCCTATAAACTTTGTTTCACTTCTGAAATAACACAGTGTGTGTCTCCTCTGGGATTTATTTAACTGACATTTGCTCTCATAAATACTAACAATTCATACAGGAAAATCTTGAAGATTAACAAGGCTGCACAAACTTTCACATCCCACTCTACTAACAGATGCTGAGACCCTTGAACTCCTCTGGAGCAGAAGCTCATTCTAAGCCCAGAGTTGATGTTCTTATCCTGAACCATGTCCACAGACTAGAAGGAGCTGATCTTCATCCCAGCTGCTCACATCTGGCTACAATCCACCTGGAGGCTGGAGGTAAACAGAACCACAACATCTACAAAAAGCACTGATGGAACCTGCAGCTCACCTGAAACCACAGACCCCTACTGCACCTGTCTGTCTCGACGCTGTGAACGGAAGCCCTGGAAATGATTCAGACTCATTACTCACTATGCAAACCAAACTCCCACTCCCTTTGTGGGATTGTATCACCCAATACTCCTGCATCACTCCCAGTACAGCTAGAGCACATATGTCAGACTCAAGGCCCGATGCGGCCCGCGGAGCATTTTTATGTGGCCCGCGAGATAAATATCAAAAATATATTAAAACTGTCCCTCTGGCCGATTTTAATGCAAAGACTTCAACTCCCATGATGCTTTGCGGCGTCAGCGCGGAGCCGACGCGCCCCCTCCCTTTGTGTTTTTTCCAGCGCCTGCTGCCGGGTGTCTGCAGCTCCGCTGTCTCAGACAAACTACACTCCTCTCACTCAGCGCCGAGTTCACTCAGCTGTTTTCTGACGTTGAAGCCCAGAAACGGAGATTTTAGCCGCTCAGTAATGTGTTCACGATTGAAAGAGAAAGTTTTCCAACTAACGTCCAGACAGAGCCGATATAACTCCAGCGAGCAGCGACACGCTCAAACCAGCACGGCTCTGTGGCTGCTGTCGTGTTTCCTCCCCGACACACAACAACGTGGTCAAGCTGCTCAGACATGTTCATCAGCACAAACCTATGTGAGCACCATAGACTGTACATACTGGAAAAACGGATTCCATAGGCTCCAATAACACATTTTTTGTCCATAATGGGAGGTGGCCACCACCGCCATTTTGACCGTGTCACAGGTTCCGTCCAGCCCAGACATTTCCATAAAAGGGAAGAGAGGAGGAGCTGAGGGTGGGGCTGTAAGGCTGGGCTCGAGTGACGACACCCGTGCGAACTAGCTACGAGCTAACCTGAAGCTAACCCTGGCTAACCCAAAGCTAACGCGGAGGTGGGAGCCAAGCTAACGGATGTAGCCACCTAGCTTCAACCCAACCGGAGCTAACTGGAACACCCATCGACCTGAACCTCACACGGAGTTTAGGTGGAGGTTTTCGGCGCCTGTTCGTGAAAAGTACCTGGATTAAAAAAGTATTGAATCGGTAAGTTTATAATTTATTTCCGTAATGAAAACATTTTGCTTTGAGCAAGTTTTCAGTACCGTATCTTCCTGGCTATTGCTCCTGAGTCGCACCAGCCATTAAATGTATAATGAAGAAGAGAAAATATATTTAACTCGTATTTTGGGGGGACATTTTATTATCTTTCTTACAAAATCTGAGACCAAGCGTTTCACATTGCAACACAAGCACCGGTAACCATAACAGAATGAACAACAGCCAGCAGAGGAGAGGATGTCGGTGTTTCAAGCCCTCCCGGCCGGCGAGGAGAGCTCATTCCTGGACTGGAGCCAGCCCTCAGCACCCCGCCACAGGCTCCAACAGATGCTGGCGGTGTTTGAAACCCTCTCAGCGGGACAGGGGAAGTCATTCTTGGGTCGGAGTTGGCTCGCAGCAGCGCGCCACGTTCTCTAGTCGAGGAAGGCTGTTTTTGAAACCCTCGCAGCGGGACAGGGGAACTCATTCTTGGGCGGGTCGGAGTCGGCCCGCAGCAGACCCGCAGCAGCGCGGTGTAGCCGTAGCCTACATATTTTGTTATATAAGTCGCTCCGGAGTATAAGTAGCTGGACCGGCCAGACTATGTAAAATAGTGCGAGTTATAGTCTGGAAAATATGGCAGTTATTAGTATTCGAGCTAAATTAGCAGCCTAAATACATTTCATATATTTCCAAAACGTAATAACTGTTTGTATCTTGTATTCAGCCAACTAGCCTTTATTCTGGACTCAGTACAACTCACCAAAAGTAAAGAGACATTATACAGATGAGGTAAGCACAAGATAACTTACTGGAAGAAACAGAATTATTATCATGAGAACCAGAACAAGACAGCCTGATAACAGTCATGTGAAAATAACAGTTAAAAAGTATGTATGTGTAATAGAAATAAAAATATATTAGAATTAGTGTAACTCACTGTGTTCCAAACAATAAATCAGCCATAGCTGATTAGTAAATATGACATGAGGTCTGGGAGTATTTAAGTTTCATTCTTTTATTACATTTTTTTCTTAGATCTGTTTAAAGGTCACCATGGCAGCCTGTGTGTCTCCAACATCAGCTACACAAAGCAGCAAGTGTAAGTTCCACATACCTGTCTCACCACTTCATGTATGGTTTTGTACTTTAAACAATTATGACAAACCTGTTATTTTTTCTCCATAGCCATTTGGATCATTGGAGACAGCTGAGTGAGGCGTGGTGCCCAGAGAGCTGCAGAGACCGTCGGACACAACCTTGGCCTCCCTGACGTCTGTGTCTCCTGGTTCGGTTGGGGCTGACCATCGACATACATACATGTGCCGACACTTTGCGCCCTGTTTTATAAAATGTAGTGTTAAAAATAAATGTTTTTGCTCAATTACTGGAATTTCTTTGGTTAAGACAGAAGTGAGGAATAATCATTTACAAGTTATACAACAGGCCCATTTTAAATCCCAACAGTTTCTTAGCAGCCAATAGAAATGTGTTCTTTACTAACTTTACTTGGTTTAAAAATCTTACTAAAATAGTGCCGTATTGCAAAACCCAATCATACTTGTTATGTAAACATTAGCTTTGTAGATATTTTTTACAGATATATATTTGTGTGCAACAAATCCAAACTTAAATAATTTTTCATTCTTTATTGAAAAACAACAAAATACAGTTATACAGAAGTGTGGGAAATGATAATGTGAAAGTATTGCACTATAAATGTAATCCTATTTATCTTTAAAAAGAAAAACTCTAAAAATGTCCTGTACAGCATCATGACAGAAGAATGGTGGTCTGTCTGTCAGAATGTGCTGAACAGATTTGCTCTTTGAAGAGGAGTGTCATGTTTGGAGGAAGGTACTTAACCCAAGACATGCAGAATACAACACTGACCAAAAACTGATGGAAAAAATGATTTATTTATAAGGAGGAACTTAAGGTGCACAGATAAGTCTGTGGTTGGAACTGCAACAACAGCTCAGCGTCTGGAGGAGGGAGAACACAGGTGAGCTTAGGTTCTGGTTTCAAAATCCATTGTAGGCAGGCAGAGGTGTTCAGCAGACTTACTGTGGTGGGTGTATGTGTTGGCTGGAGGAGGGAGAGGTAGAGAGCCGGGGGAAGCGCAGGAGAGGGAGCAGAGGTGGAGAGAAGCGGGGCGTCCTGGTGGATGGGGCACTGGGTGAGATGAGAGGTGGGTTATGGAGGGTGGTGATAAGGTCCGTGTGTTGAATATCCAAATCCTGGAGTAGAGGTCAGTATCCAATGAGGTCGACAGGAATCCTGAAGAATGGTAAATCCAATATAAGAGCAAAAACACTACGAAATAACATTAATCCTAGGAACACTAGAGGTAACACGAGTGGCTGGTTACTACCAAAACTGAGGCAATCTTCTGGCGTCAAATTGTGTCCTCCATCCACCTTAAATAGGAAAGCACCCCGCTGATTGCTGATCAGGAACGGCTGGGGTGGAGTCACCAGAACCATGAAGAACGTGTCTCCAGAGACAACCCGGGTCCTGGTACCGATCAGGAAGCGAACCTTATCACCCAGAGCTGCCAGGTCACGCTCAAAGCCTTCATGTTCACGCTGCAGAGCCTGAACGCTGGCCAGGTCGTGGCCGTAGTTGTCTGTGTTCAGGGCCTGGTTCTTCTCCTCGATCCACTCTTTGGTCTCATCAGCGTCTCTGAGAAGACATCAGAACTCCGTCTGAGTGTGGGTCCAAACTCTACTGACCCGTAAGCGGCGCATAAGTGTGCGGGGTACCTGTGGAAGCGCTGCACCTCATGGGCGCTGCCCAGCATGTTGCTCCGGTCTTCAGCCAGCTGTTGCAGCGAGCGCCAGCGGTTGTTCAGCTCCTGGATTGAAACCAAACCCAGTGAGATGAAGGTGGACGCCAGCGGGCTGGACGCCGGACGAGGAAACCTGGAGACGGATCGCTCAGACAGGAAGGGAAGAGCTTCCTCTTACCTTGATGGAATTAAAGTTAGCCGTCATCTGAACGCCCAACCGTACGGTCTGAGGTCAAAGGTCACAGGAAACACACACCAGTCAGCAGTCATACAGATGCATAAAGATAACTGTAGCCATGGCAACCAGCTGACATGTCCCCACTTTCACCAGCACCTGGTGCCTGCCGGGTCACCTGAATTCCTGTGTGATGTCAGCACGGTCGGCCGTGACTGTTGTCATCTAATGTTGTCATTATTATGATGAAGATGAACAAAACAACAGGAGCCTCCTCCTCAGCTCAGATCAATCCCATGATGCAGGTATCTGGCTGGAACAGGTGAGCATCACAGTAAATCAGTGGAGCAAACTGAGCTTTAAATATGTTGGTTTTCTGCTCTTTTTCTGCTCCAAAACATGAAAGTTAACAGGTGAGATGTTGCATTTTCATTTAAGATAAAATTATATTTTTATTTTGTTGTTGGCCCGTGAGAAAAGATTTAACCTTCAGTAAACAGGAAGTGGAAAGGCTGCAGATAGATGAATAGAATAGAAAATCCCTTTATTGTTCCTCAGTGGGGAAAGCTAGACGTCACAGCAGCGATGACACTTATTACAGGAGAAAAAAAGGAGAATAAAAAATAAGAAAAATGAATAAACAAGAAAACATAAATCCTGAATAGATTTATAAAATGCTGATTATACCACAAGTAATGAATACCACTGATGCCTTTTATTTAAAACTGACTTGCTCGTGTGTAATTTGGTTATTCCACATTCAGTGTTAATGCAGAAATAAGTTTGTTTCCAAATTTAAAGGTTCAAAATTGCATACATGTCGATGAAGAAAATGTGCAAATTTGCCGTCACTTTTTCAAAAAATATTAAGTTTGGCCCTCGACTCCGTCCCAGAGTTTCATTTCGGTCCCTTGTGAGTTTGAGTTTGACACCCCTGAGCTAGAGTGAGGAAATATAAATTGCTTCCTGCAGTACAGTTTTAGAGGCTCCAGCTTGTCTCATGAGACAGGCAGAGCTCCGTCCCTTTGGGTCCCCAACAATCCCAACAAACACAGCCAATCTGAATGACATCAAGCAGGCATTAAACAATCAATGTGAGCATGGAACCCACTCGGACCGGGCCGTGATTTCCCCTGGGAGACAGGTGGGACCGGCTTTGTGTTGTGAAATCACCAAACAGGAAATGGAATTGGATGGACTGGGTCTCCTCTTAATGGTGCTGATAGGATGTGAGATGGGCTCATGAGCGACCTCCACAGGAATGTGATGGTTACTATCAGCCTCATTTAGACTGGTCTGGATCAAACTTTTCTTCGTGGTTCCAGCATTCAGACACTCACACAGAGGACATCATTTGAAGTTATGTGGAACAAAAACACCAAAAGGCAAAGAAAAGAAGAAGTGGTTTTACATCTTTTCTGCAGCTGGCAGCCTTGTTCCTGCAGATTCCTCCAGAGCTTTTTAGCAGTTACATGGAGTTAGCACCTATGATCGCTTCACATGCCTGAACGGGAAGGAGGCACACTAATGTAAGGGGAATAATTCACCCTCCCAGAGGAAGAAGAGTTAGAAAAGACAGAATGTTTTATATGGTGGTGGTTATTCCTGCTGCAGCAGAGGGAATGTTTATTTGAAACAATCAGACCACCAGCAACATCCGCCCTGAAGTCCTTCCTCTATAAAACACAGAGACGCAGATGAAGACTGATGCATTCAAGAAGAAACACAGAATCCGAAGTGACAGCTTTGTGACGCTGGCCTCGCTACGTAGCTGTGGTGCGACTGAAATAGCACATAGCCTCTCTAAAACCCCAACAGGGTGTCAGACTTGTTTTTGGACTTAAAATTATGAAATTTTACATTTGATATATAACCTGTTACTGTTATTTAGAATAAGAACTGAATATTTTCAACTGATTTAGTCTGAACATAGTACGTCAGTACTCATCTGCTCACTAATGAACTAGACTGGAAATCATACCATACCAAATTTATTTCTAAGCCTGTTTAAAAACAGCATCCCAGCTGGCCAAAGTGTTGTAGATCATCTTTGTAGTTTGAGCTCTGAGCCCCATGGTGAATGAGTCAAAATGTACGTTCTATAATAGCACACTTCTTTCATGCTGTTTTTCAAAAGGGATTTTATTTTCCCCTTAAAGTTAGCCTTTAAAAGCACAAAACAAGAAGGAAACTAAAGTCAAAGTAAAAGAAATACAGAACAATACCAAGGTGAAATGGGGGCTTGTGCACGACCTTGCTAGGATGCTTCTTTAGTATCTTAGCCCGAGAGCAGAAGGCAGTGAATTATCCTACCTCAGTTTGATCTTTGGCTTCAGCTTTACATGGATGATGAGCGCCCTCGTATGGCAATTTGGTGGAATTACAACAACTCTCAAAATGAACTCAAAGCCGTAAAAGTCAATGACTTTGATGAACGTGTAAAACTTTACAAGCCTTCTGGTATGAAACAGTTCTATTAAAATAACTATATAACGCTGAAGTGAATTAGAAGAAAGATCATTAAAATATACAAAACGCCGTGATTTTGCAATCATGTTGACGTTTTTACATAAATAAATGGATTAAAAGCATTAATAATAATTTTCCAAACCTCTGACTGTTATAAAAAACAACCCAAAAAAGAGAAAAGAAAAAAGTCCAGAAAATAGTTTCGTTTAATTAGGGATATAAGTTCATCATAATGTTATATCCCTAACATAACATTATGATGAACTAGCATTATGTTAGTAAACATTCAGATACTGCGCAACACTGCAAATTTGGCTAGAACTAAGTTTTAAAGCAACTAAATAATTTCTTATTAAAACTGGAAAGAGACATTAATAGTTTAGACACATTGGATTGCCTTTGTATGAAAGCTGCTTCGCCTTGCCTAAAAATGTGTCAAATGTATATTAATGGCAAGGATACAAATGACGTAAATGGGTACTGATGAGAAAATCTATTTATCCAAACCTGCAGGGACTCTGGGATAATTTAATGATGTTTTGGTATCACGTGTAGCATTTAGGAATAACTTTGTTTTAAATGGGTTTTTTTACCCAGTAAACCACTCAGAGCGAATCACAAACATTCTACTAATAGACCCGCCTACAAACGAGCTGTGCTCCATATGATTGGTTCAAAATCAACTGAGCCGCTGTGCGAAGATCTCATTGGTTCACCGTTACGTCAACCACTCTCCTCACGCGCGCCACCGGTTAGATGCGGAACAAGGAGAAGGAGAGACGCGGTTAGAGGGGGCTGAGGACTGTTGTCCTTCATCACTTCAGCACAGAGTGTACAAGCTGTAACAACACATCCTTAGATTGTTTTATCGAATTTAACTTGGACATTTTCTGAACCGAAGGGGAAATGGCGCAGCCAGACACCAAGAAAATATTCTTTGAGAACCTGTCGGGAGCAGGGAAAGCCATCGCCGTGCTGACAAGCGGAGGAGATGCTCAAGGTAAAACTCACATCCACACACCGGAACTCACGGAAGAGCCTTGGTGTTCGAGCAGACCGGTCTGTAGGAGGCAAAAACACACGGCTACAGCAGTGAGCTGCTGATGAAGGACGTGTTTCTGTGTCTGTCACGTTTATATCTATTACTTTACCAGCAAGGTCCGTGTACAGTAACGCTGTATCAGCGATGCTGCCTTCAGGAAGGCCGGTAGCTAGCTGTGCTAACACATGACGCATCTTTCTGACAGGCTATGGTGCTCCATCAGCTCTGCGTCCGAGAAGATGTCAAGGTCAGCCTGTGCCGGCCGGGTTTTCCGTTCACACCGGATATTGTAGCATAATCACCGACGAGCTAAGTGTAATAGGCCGGGTAACTTAGAGGAGGCAGTGGATGCTGGCGGCGCTGAGGGCACCACGCCACCGGTAATGGCTGTGATGATATTCAGTGTGGGCCAGCAGTGGGATGCCTGCATCCTGTGTACGTGATGAGCAGCACCCAGTCGCCTCACGTCAGAGGGGAAACTCTGGTCACGTGACCCACCGGCTCATCTCATTGACTGCAGCACAAATCCACGCTAAGCACCACCGGTACATTTTGATTAGAAATGTACCAGAATTAAAGCTCGGATACATAATAACAATGTTTGTCCAGATGTTTCATGATTATGGTGACGTTTCTGAAACGACAGTTCACCCAGGGAAGGCACTAGAGACCTGAGATGGTTTATGCAGAGCTTTGGTGTCCGAGGCCATTGTTGCAGCCTTTTAACTCGGTGTGCCTGAGAAAGTTTCAGTCATGCAGAATAAAAGACTGTCCGCTTTGATCGAGACCTGAAAGCACCATGAAATATCCCCCGATTTAAGTTAAAACGTCTCTACATGGTTATATAACGAGACGACAGGTCATGGTTTGCTGCAATGAACAGCACTGGTAATCCCTCTCTGACCTGTATGTGTTCTACTGGTTCCAGTTAGTATTATTAAAGATCTGGAGCCACAAAAGTCCATTTTTTCATCAGCAATCACTGATTTTTGCTGATCGTGTTCAGTCCAGTCTATCTGATCATTTCAACGTGAATAATTTATAGGAAGGTTTGTCATTTAACACTGACCCTTTTAATTCCTCAAGCATAAAAAAGCCTCTGACAGAAGTTACATTTAGGTTGTCACAAAAACAGAATTTGTTTCACACTTTTTTAGGTAGAAAAAGATATTTCCATTATTTCCAAAGAGCTGTTAGCTGATGTAGCACACTCATTTCACCAGACCAAGAGTGGAGGAAGCCAGAGGTGGAGAAGCTTTTTAGAAGGAGGTGTTTTTAGTAAATAATTGAAAAAAATAGCAGTCTTTACACATAACAGGAGAGATTTAATCTAGTTTCTGTTGTTAACACGTTCAAATTATATCAGATTTTAGGTTTGGATTATTTTACATGTCTCACCAGTAAAATAAGAGTTGTTGTGGTGGAATCCTCTTAAAACTCCTCTCGCCTACAGATTATAACTTGATTTATGTGTGTGTGTCTTGTTTTGACGCGACACACCTTCGTTCTTCAAGTTTAGAGACATTATAAAGATTGAATTCTGTGAAGCTCGTCAAATAAAAATAAACATTTCTTACAAAACGGTGAAAGAATGAATGTCCTGTGAATAAAATGTTAAAAACTGATTTTCACAGATTTAAAAAAGAAACTGAAACACATTGAAAGTTGTTGAAGACTTTAGTGAAACACTGAATTTAAAATCAGCAGGTTTTCGTTGGTCCAGCAGCTTGAATGCTTGGTTGCTTAGCGACCAGACTGCAGTGATCCACTCGTTTCTGAGTAAGTTGAAATGAACCTCGTCAAGTCAGCCAAGTTCCTTCAGTCCTTCGGTGGGAGCAGCAACGTCTTTTGTCTTTACTGTCCGTGTTCCAGCTAACCCGCCATGTTGGCTCTCCGGTCACACAGTCTGGGCCAGCCGCAGCGTGAGTAAGAGGCTGGAGGAAAAGACTTGGACCTGCAGAACCTCTGCTCCCAACCACAAACGTGTCGTCACGTGTGGTTTTAGCTCACACGTTACTGCACCAAGTCACTTTTATGACGGGATCTTCCTGTTTCCTGCAGGGATGAATGCTGCTGTGCGTGCTGTGGTCCGGATGGGGATCTACGTGGGTGCAAAAGTTTATCTCATTCATGAGGTGAGCTGTCAGCACACAACAGTCACACATGCTAACACTAACTTATCTTACTAGCATTGCTGCATGAATCACTCCACCAGTTTGGTCTGCTGCCGAGGGTCACTGGGTTCTGTCCTGGCTGAAACAGGTAGACCAGGTGTGTGTGTGTGTGTGTGTTAGTGTTGTCAAAAAAATCGATACCTAGATATAAATCGATGCTAAAAGTGGTATCTAAATTAGATACTCCATCCCTGTGGTATCGATATTATGGACTATTATACGCAGCCTTCTTCAAGTACACAGTCACGCACGACAGCCAGATGCCGTAAAGCAGCCTCCGCCTCCCAGACAAACAGAAGAAGAAGACGCCGCATGGCTACATTGCAATTTCCCACGCGAGTTGTCTCCAATCCAAGTTAAACAAAATAAACAAATAAACAAAAACTTAAACAGCGAATTTGGGAGGCGCTTCACAGCCCAACTTCATCAGCATTCCGAGTCCGACACGTAGTTCTATATTCACGCTTATGTGCTTAAAGGAAAACTCCCGTTTATTGCAACCCGGACTTAGTTTCTAGCATGCAGTACGTTTGTTTACTCACGCTGACAACTTTGGTGCTACTTGGATTCCCCGGGGTATTTAGATCCATCGGCGAATCGCCTTCAGTGAATATCCATATAACGGGTGTGGACGGGCACCCATGGTGCAGCCTCGAAATAAGACATTATCTGCACCGAAACATCTTCATGTCGAAAGGTTTTGTTAGGAATCATTAACATGATTCCCCTGTTCGTTTGGAGCAAGTCTGGGATTTCTAGGCGTAAACAGACTAGCTGCGGCTAATTAACCGATGCTTTTAATGACGTCACTGCCGTGCGCCAATCTGTTTTTATTAAGATTACCGGTAGATGTACCTTTGTCCTACTGTGGAGAAATTCGTTTTCTCCCTTTATTGGCCAACAGAGTTGTTCAAAAGTACAGAACAAAACATATGGCATTACAGCTTATGACAAAAATGCACCTTAAACAGAGTTTAAGCAGCAAAACATCACTCTGCAAATAGTGTATATATAGTGAGACAATTCATGATTTAAAGTGTTAACTTTCGCCAGTTTTTGTATGCACGTTTTAAAAAAAATGCTAATACTTGAAAGGTTTAAGCACTTTATACACTTAATTCTTAACATTTTATTTTTGCAATATAAATAGAGGAATGTTATTTTTTGAATAAACTTGTTCAATAAATTGGTGTTTTTAAATAGTATCGAAATCGAGTATCGAGTTTTTTTCCCCCGTATCGAATCGAGTTTGAAATTTTAGTATCATGACAACCCTAGTGTGTGTGTGTGTGTGTGTGTGTGTGTGTGTGTGTGTGTGTGTGTGTGTGTGTGTGTGTGTGTGTGTGTTTTAAAAGCTGCAGGTGCAGCAGATTGTCTGCCAAGCTTAGAGAAGTGAAAGCAGCGTTCACATGTGTGTTCTGCTCCCTCTGCGTGTCGTTACATAACTGACTTGAGGTCTTCCTAGCTGCGTCATATGGACCTCCCCTCTCCCGAGGCACAGCAGCATTGTGTGTGTGTGTTCTCACACACAACCATACAGAACGGAGATGGACTCATGACATGCATGTAGTAAACTTATCTCTTTGTCTGAAGACAATGACTCGACCTAAGCTGTGAGCCTCGCCGTGTTTGTTTTCAAACCCACTCAGCTAATCCTGTCCGCTTCCATTCTCAGGGATATCAGGGTATGGTGGATGGAGGGGAGAACATAAAGGAGGCCACATGGGAGGGTGTCTCCAGTATGCTGCAAGTGGTGAGCAGCGTTTCACAGATTTACTATAACCCCGTAAAGGATTGTTTCAGTCATGTTTCTGTGTAGAAGGGAGGGGAATAAACACAGATGAGTCGTATAGAGGGGGATTTGTCTCTGTCATCAGGGCGGGACTGTGATCGGCAGCGCTCGCTGCAAAGACTTCCGCTCCCACGAGGGACGGCTGAAGGCCGCTCACAACCTGGTGCGTCACGGCATCACCAACCTGTGTGTGATCGGAGGAGACGGCAGCCTGACGGGGGCCAACCTCTTCAGGGAGGAGTGGAGCGGGCTACTGGCTGAGCTGGTGGAGCAAGGTAGAGGAGAGACATGACGCCCCACAGACACACAAACGTATCCCTCATGATGGCTTTTTATTTAGTTTCTGCTTCCAGGTGGATTTTAGGCTTTGTTCTGGTTTGTGGAACTAATTTAAATGAAGTAAAATCATTGTCCTGATGCGTTTACGTGTTTGTTCAGCTGAAAAGTTTCCAGTGTGTTTGTTTGAACCCCCCCGACCCTCTCAGGACTGATCGAAGCTGACGCGGTCCAGAAGTACTCTGCCCTTCACATCGTGGGGATGGTGGGCTCCATCGATAACGACTTCTGTGGAACCGACATGACCATCGGCACTGACTCTGCTTTGCACAGGATCATCGAGGTGGTGGATGCGATTATGACGACCGCCCAGAGGTGAGACGGAGCATGGCGTTGTTCTCCAGCCTGTCGTGTTGAAGACATCAGTCCTTTTCTTATTCAGCTTTTCTCTTCCTCACCCACAGCCACCAGAGGACGTTTGTGTTGGAGGTCATGGGCAGACACTGCGGGTAAGAAGCCGACTCACTAGAGCAGCGCCGGCGACCTTTGACCCCTGAGTGTTCTGTCTGTGTGTGTTATCTCAGCTACCTGGCCCTGGTGAGCGCGCTGGCCTGCGGTGCAGACTGGGTGTTGATCCCTGAGATGCCGCCTGAGGATGGCTGGGAGGAGAAGATGTGTCAGAAACTATCAGCGGTAACTCGCACCTCCACCTGAAGCTCAGTAAAGCACATTTAACGCGTGTTCATCATGAGTCGAACTTTATTTAACTTCTGTTACAGCTCTTGTTTCTGCAGGAGGAACGTTAGGTTTATTCATTTAGAAAAGTCTGATTCTATCTGAACATCTGATGTCTCGCTCTGTGTTTTCTGCTCTGAAACGTTCCAATGATCTATGATTCAGACCCGGTCCAGGGGCACAAGGCTCAACATTATCATAGTCGCAGAGGGAGCCATTGACAGGCACGGGAAACCTATCACTTCTAGTTTTGTCAAGGATGTGAGTACCTGACTGTGGAGGAGAGGGGAAGCCAGAAGCACAGAGCGCCGCCTGATAGAGCCCCAGCTAGTATGAGTGAACATTCACTAGCCTGTTAATCTGACGATGATAAAGTGATGACAAGCATCAGGAAAAGCAGGATGCTGCTGATGGCAGCGATGGACAGCAGGTCCTACTATTTTCTGGACCTGGGCTCCCCGGCTGTCCTCGTCTGGCCCCTGTGCTTCTGAAAGCCCACGTCACAGCCACACTGAGTTTTTCTGTCATGTTGTCTCTCCACCACGCCCTCCCTATAGAACCGTGCAGGGATGAAAAGGCTGAATATCATAATTGTAGCCGAAGGGGCGATTGATCGTAACAACAAGCCCATTACCACTGACTATATTAAGAATGTAAGTACAGAGCTTTGTGCAGCAAGCCTCCTGTATGCCTCTACCTCTGCCCCGATGTGGCTTTGACTCTGTTGCTGTGTTTCTGAAATGCTCTATCAGGCACAGTTGCTAGTTTGGTAAGATGGCTCTCATGGCACTGTACTCTAACTGCTCTAAAACACTCTCACAAAACCTCACAGCCACTATTCTGTCCACCAAGATGCTTTCACCTTTCTCTTTGGGTTTGTGACACTCACTTTTATTTTGATTGGAGGGATTCCCATCCCCCAGCTGACTGGTTCCATCCATCGAGTGTTTTATTTTCATAGTACCTGCCTGAGTATTTCTTTTGACTAGTTCACATCTTGCCTGGGATCCTCTGTGGGCTACGGGCTCCTTGCTAACATGACTGAAAAATTAGAATGGCTTGCTTGTGCTTTGTCGTTTCCCCTTCTCTTCAGCTTGGATATTGTGTTTGTGTCCCAGTGTGTGATGTGCCTGTTTTCTGTTATGTCTTCTGTCTTGAATTCAAACATAAATGAATCAGATTTCAGTAGCAGATCCTCCTAGAGGACTGATGGTACCAGCTGCTGAACCCTGTGTGCTTCGTCCTCGTAGCTCGTTGTCAAAAACCTGGGCTTCGACACACGAGTGACGATTCTGGGCCATGTGCAGAGAGGAGGAACACCTTCTGCCTTTGACCGCATCTTGGTGAGTTTGTCTAACTCCAACAGGGAGGAGGTGGTGTTTTTGCATGCATGTGTTTGTCCTACAGCATTTAATACAACTACAGCTTTTTGTTGCCATTTGTTACATAATTGATGAAATGATTAAGCCTTAAATAGCAACTTGCTTCTAAAGAATAAATTATTGACGCTGCTTTCGTGTGTCGCAAAAGTTATTTTTAGATAAATTGGCGTCGTCACCTGGATGGCCTGAGTGATGAAATGGTGTCAGCCTTTAGGTTAAATACATTAAGAGATTTAGGGCTCAGCTGGTGGAGAAGTTCAGGTTAGTTCCTGCCTGGTTTCCACCAAGCAGACAGGTGTTATGATCTATTCTAAATAAACACGAGGATGCTGCCAAAACAAGCAGATAACGATGCAGTTTCATCTGTCTCTCTGTGTGTGTGTGTGTGTGTGTGTGTGTGTGTGTGTGTGTGTGTGTGTGTGTGTGTGTGTGTGTGTGTGTGTGTGTGTGTGTGTGTGTGTGTGTGTGTGTGTGTGTGTGTGTGTGTGTGTGTGTGTGTGTGTGTGTGTGTGTGTGTGTGTGTGTGTGTGTGTGTGTGTGTGTGTGTGTGTGTGTGTGTGTGTGTGTGTGTGTGTGTGTGTGTGTGTGTGTGTGTGTGTGTGTGTCACGTGAAGGCCAGTCGTATGGGGGTGGAGGCTGTTCTGGCCCTGTTGGAGACCACCGCCAACACACCGGCCTGTGTGGTTTCTCTGTGTGGGAACCAGTCGGTGCGTGTGCCTCTGATGGAGTGTGTACAGACGGTGAGTTCTGCATGGTGCTGGAAACGGTCCAAGAATACCGCACGTGTACTGCACTTGCTCACACAAACACACACAGGTCTTGCTAATGAGGAGATATTTGAAGCGTGTGTTTCTGGTTAGTGATCGTTCATCTGAAGACGCTGGCCGGGTGGGTGGTGACTGCCGTCTTGATGATGTCAGAGACAAAGGAGCTGTGTTGTTCTGGTGGCCCCTCCTGCTTGGGTTCTGCTGGGAACAAATCTGTCTGATAGCCATTTTGGAAGCACAAATGGATTTGACTGATTTCTGCAGCAGGAGACTGTTGGAGAAACTGTCCTCGTCTCAGTCTCAAAGTCATCAAATCCAACTAAATTCATTAATATTTTGATTTTAAATGAAATATGCAACGGTGGAGATATCCTCCCCCCTGTTTCACTTGTTTCAGTAGGCTTCAGGTTCAATATGAGACTACTGGAGAACATGAACTGGTAATGTTGGAGTCAGGTGACTGTTTTGGTGCATTGTGGGATTTGTAGTGTGCAGGATGGTTATACGTAGATGTTGAACACAGTCTCTACAGGAAAGAAAAACAAGCTAGCTGTGCTGAAATTAAAAATAAAATATCAATTCTTCTTTACTAAGACTCAAGAAGTCCAGAAGGCCATGGACCAGAAGCGGTTTGAGGAGGCCGTGAAGCTTCGGGGCAGGTATGGACGTGATCATATCTTTGAACTCCATCATGTTGTGGAGTGTGATCAGCTGTACGGAGACCTGATTCAGTAGCTTCTGCTCATTTTAACCATCTGGGTTTGATACAGGAGCTTTGAAAACAACCTGAAGACGTACAAACTGCTGGCTCATCGTAAACCTGAGTCTGAACTGCCCACTGTGAGTCTGACACACACACACACACCAGATGACGATTTGCTCCCTTGCTGATGCGTGGCTGGTTGATGCTGGCCAGGAGGATGATTAAGGTGTAAAAGCATGGCGCAGTTCACCTCAGGGTTGAGGACCCCCCCCCCCCCCCCCCCCCCCCCCAATACACACAGTTGGGTGTTCTGCGGGTAACTGAGAATACACCAGAAGCCAAGTATTGATTTCCTCTTCAGAACATCAACAGGTGCCCTCTGACATACAGCGTGCCATTTAGTGGGATTAAACTACAGCAGGGGTGATGGAAAGGTCACCTCTGATGTGTACAGCTCACAGTGTTTCCCTTGCATAGGCGTAGCCGTTGCGGCCCGCCACGGCTGAAATCCCGTTTTATAGATTTTTTTTATTTCAATTTTATTTTTATTTTTTTTGCGCGGTTTCCCGAAGAAGCAGCGGGAACTATTCTGTTGTTGCTTGTGATTACAACCGGCAGGCAGCAAGGAGGAGGAGGCAGGGCAGGGTGGCTACAGCTAGGGATGAGCTGGATACTCGTTTCAGACGAGTATCCGGTACGGATAAAGCATTCTTGACGAATACGAGCATGAAATGAGTAAAACTCGTAAATATCTGTAATCGTGCTGAAGAAAAATCCTCATTGGGTAACTGACTACCTTCACGCTCTGTGACTGGCCAGTCACATAGAGCGCCCGCCCCTCCCTACACACAAAACTCTGCTCCGACCCACGCACACACACAGACAGTAACGGATCTCTCTACTTGCATCACTGTTGCTCACGTTTCTTCGGTACTCCCTAGGTTTTCATCAGCTCCCCTCTTTTTCGGTTGAATATTTAAAGTTACTTATTTCGTAACGTACGTGGTGTATTTGACAAGACAGAGCTGAAAACGGCTCGTGCATGCGTCGGTCACTGCCTCCGCTCCAGTCTGTTTTTTTTTTTAATTATTTACTCACTCACTCACTCACTCACTCACTCACTCACTCACTCACTCACTCACTCACCTTAATCAACATTGTTTTGTTTAACTGTGTGTGGGAAAAACAACGTTAGGAAAAAATCAGTTTAATCAAATTAAAGTAAAATGGTTCTAGTATTTCATATTTCCTAGTTCCTACTGCACGAGTTCAGATGCATTAATTCATGCACTTAAATATGAATGTTCTGATTTTACTGAAAAACTTGTTCTGTAATAGTTCCTTTACTATTGTGATCAAAAATATTTAATCTCAGTTCTGAGGGTGCTCTGTAAATAGTTTTCAAATAAACAATACACATAGCAACTTCTGATCATTCCATATCAATTTCAGATTTAAAATAATGAATTGATGTAAACCACACCCACTAATTTCCAAATAATAAGGTGCATTCATCTGTGTATCTCATTTGATCCGCATTAGTGATATTTTCAGCACCAGAACAATGAAGCAAAGAAACCGATTCCTGAGTTTATTTTAGTAATTTTATTTATTAGGTGCATCTAACCTGTTCTATTTTTCTCTGAAATGAGATCAAATCAGTGCTTCTGTGGGTTGTCTCCTCTCTGCACTATATTTACTGTATTATAATGTTCACTGTAATGCAATTCAATCAAAGATATTGGTCAATAATGCCAAATCTGTAAATTTGTGTTTCAGTCATTTTTATACTGACTTAAAAATACTTCATTAAGTCTATTAAGCAGGGGTGTAGAATGTTTCTAATATGGCCAGCCCAGTAATGATCTTGGACCAAAATAAAGGGGGCAGAAAGTCAAATAAAGGGGGCAAAAGGAGATGTTTTTCCAGACGCCAAGAAAAATTAAATGCTAAATCCCCCCTGCAAAGTGTGTCACTGAGAGTTTAAAACAAAAATTATTCTTGTGCAAATATTGGTGTATTCACCTTTAATACTAGTTATTAAAATGCAGCAGTTGCTGGATTGGTGCAGTTCATAGTGGAGTGCATCAAAAATTCCTAGGGGAAACACTGGCTCATATGTGTCCTGTTGCTGTGTGTTTCACGCCCACAGAGTAACTTTAACGTGGCGGTGCTGAACGTTGGAGCCCCCGCTGCCGGCATGAACGCCGCTGTCCGTTCGGCGGTCAGGGTGGGGATCTCTGAGGGACACAAGATGTTTGCAGTCAACGATGGATTTGAAGGCTTCTACAAAGGACAGGTGAGCTGCTGAGATGTTGCTCGTCTCCAGGATTTGAATGTTGAATCATCAAAGCAAAGAGAGATTTCAGATTGGCCTTTTGAATTGTTTGGAATCGATCCAAAAAGCTTGATGGAAATTACTCTGTGCACAGCTCACTTTTTATTTTTTTTATCAAATCAATAACTCAGAGAGAATTGGCTTAGCTTGACAGGCGTCCGATGCAGTGCAGTGTGGAATAATCATGGAAACTCGAGGGATAATCTCACATAAACTCTCCCTGAGCCGCCTGAGCAGCTGCAGTACCGCTAACAAACAGCAGATGGCAACAGCGTCTGTTACCTTGTTAAAAACAGAAGAGATGGATGATTTTAGAGGGTCCTCACTCAGAGGGACGGACAGGTTTGATTAGACGGATTAGCCTGGCCTCGGCTGTAAGCTGAGACTGTTTCTTTGTTTTCTTACCGATGGAAGTGGTTTCACACTCTTCTTACATTTCCTGTTATTTGCTGTAAGGAAACCTGAAACCCTTCAATCCATGAGAATACATTAGCTACTGTTCCCTTAATGCCGTGTAAGGACTGGCCTCTGCATCCAGTTGGTGCAAACGCAGAAATCAGACGGCAGCTCGTGGGAAGGCAGCTTTTTAACAATCTGTCATTAAGGTTTAATGTAAAGAGTTTATTTGTTGTTCCTGATCTGGATCCATGGAACAGGTCATGGTAAACCCTTCTTCTTCTTTGAACCTGCTGTCATGAAGTGACTGATGTGCTGCTGTTGTCGTCCTCCCAGATTAAGGAGATTAAATGGGGAGATGTCGGAGGATGGACAGGACAGGGTGGCTCGCTTTTAGGAACCAAAAGGTAAAAACTCCATGGAAATTTGGGATCGGAGTGTGTTTCTGTGTCATTCTAACCCAGAGACACCGTCCTGAACGGCCTCAGTTCAAAGAACGAGTTACTAAACTGATCATTTTAACTGACGTGATGAATTAAATGTGAAAGCTCCTCCTCGGATAGGAAACGAAACTCCTCCCAGTCAACTTTTTTCTGAATCTTCTGAGTTTGTAGTTGAAATCCAACAGGATCACTAAGCTAATGGCTAATTCAGCTAATCTGCACCCAGCCAGGACCAAAGTGTTTTCCGGCGGTGGGGCTCCGGCCACCAGAATGTCACAGTTCTCATGTTATCTAAACCTCTGCAGTGCTGTCACTTTTATGTTAGAGAGGCCTGCTGGACCTGACCTATGGATGCACTGAAAAGGCTACAGTTTGTAATATCATCACATGAACTAACTATGACATCTTGAAGACTGCGGCAGTGCTAGGGTGACCTCTGACCTCAGCTGTCCTGCAGGACATAAGAACAGATTGTGTTTTGTGGCTGGGTATCGTTTAGTTTATCTCCTTCTGTGTGAAACGGCTGCTGAGTTTTTAGGCACCTCTCCAGTTCGTGAGTACATTTGTGAATACTTCTCCTCCTCAGAACACTTCCTGCAAAGCATGTGGAGAAAATAGCCGAGCAGATGCGGAAGCATAACATCAACGCTCTGCTGGTTATCGGTGGATTCGAGGTAGGTTCAGACCTGTTACTTTATTTATTTATTTATTTATTTGGCTGATCTTTGTCTCCTAGCTTAAAAAGAGCTTTAATGATGAATATTTATGACTTGAGCAGCTGATTGTTGTTGATGCTGTTAAACCGACAGCTGTTTAGCTTGACTTATTATACCAGATGTGTTTGTTCCTTTAGTCCTCTCCCTCTCATGCCAGCACATCACCATATGGCTCATGTGTGCATAATGATGCTTCAGAGTCCTTTCTCTGTGTAAAACTCAAACATCACAGCTAATGAGTCCAACTGCAACAACCATTTGATTTAAAAATGGGGAGAATAACTTGAAGCATCGGAGTGATTTGGGCCAGCTTAGAAGTTTTGATTTGGAATCCTGCTTTCCTCCAGCCATTTCATGCAGTCCTGTTTAGATGCTCTCCAGCTTTGATTTTCCTGTGACGTATGGAAGTAAAAGTGTTCCTGTGTTCATGTGAGTGTCTGTGAGGCTGAGTGTGGAGTGGTACCTGTCTGTTTTGCTGCTGTCCGTTGTGATAGACCTGGCTCCTCCCCTTGGCACTCTTCACTGTTTTCTTTCCCTTCCCTGTGGCAAGTAGCACCTCTCAACCAAAGCACCGTGCCAAAGTCCCCCCTCCAGACACGACTAAACCCCTTGGCTGTGCCCTGCAGGCCTTGCTGTCGCTGCTGGAATTGTCAGCGGCTCGTGGGAAATATGACGAGTTCTGTGTGCCGATGGTCATGGTCCCAGCCACTGTCTCCAACAATGTGCCTGGCTCAGACCTCAGCATTGGCGCCGACACGGCTCTGAACGCCATCACTACTGTAAGTGATGGAGAACGGTGACTAGATTAGCTCACAAACATGCATGCAAACAACACACACACACACAGAATCCACAAACATGCTCACACAGCACATCCATCTGGTCCAAGAAGGGAGGGATCACACCCAGTTTTTTTCACCAGTTACTCAGTACCAACCAGTCAGAACATCTTAGGTGTGTTCTTGCTGTGTCGTGGTTCTAATTCCATGCTGTCGTTCTTTTTAAAACACAGAAACAGTTTTGTTTACCTGTTTTGTCGCTACGTTTCGCCGGCGGCTGCAGGCTTCCTCAGGCTGACGCTGATGGTGGCGCGTCACTTCCTTCTCCGTTTATCCGCGGGCAGCAGAGGACGTTAAACGGAGAAGGAAGTGACGCGCCACCATCAGCGTCAGCCTGAGGAAGCCTGCAGCCGCCGGCGAAACGTAGCGACAAAACAGGTAAACAAAACTGTTTCTGTGTTTTAAAAAGAACGACAGCATGGAAGCAGTCAGAATATGGTTCTTGTGACGGTCAGCAGCTGTACACCACATCTGGTACGTTAGAGCTCAACTAGAGCATCAAATTCAGCCGGTGTGCTGTGTCAGACACGACTGGTGACAGCTGAGGTCATGAGCGGCATCCCTCCCTCACCCAACAGGTAAGTGGAAACATGGAGGCATGCTGTGAGCTGCACGAGGGTTGTGACCGCTATGTTTGCTCTGCCTGCCCCTCACTGTGTGTGTGTGTGTGTGTGTGTTCATTCATGTGAAGGGAAAATTAATAAACATAGATTTTAATGTTTAGTCAGCATAAGAAGTTCAAAAAATATTTAATGTTAAATACTATTTGTTTAAACTACAGTTTAGTGCAAAAGTTTGACACCATTAATGTTTTCATTTGAACTTTGCTTCCTTTGAGATGTTCCAGATGAACAGTTCTCATGGTTCTCCAGTCTTTGTCTTTGGACTTGGGCTGCTTCCTCGTGTTTTTTCTGTCCAGCTCTTGTGCCTGATCACGACAGCAGCATGGACAAGTAGGGAATAAAATAAATGTTAGATCTGAACTCAAACCGTCCACAGCAGATCACGCAGCACTGATTTAGGAACAACAACACAAGCGTTTCCTTTATAAATGGCCTGTATTTGATACAGCGCCTTCTAGAGTCCTGGAACCCCTCAAGGCGCTTTACAACACAATGCAGCGTGTTTAACTACATACTAGAATTAACGCTGTTTGCTATCAGCTTCGTTAGATTCTGAGAAAAGCTCAAACAAGTTGACAGTGAAGCTTCTGTCACATATAAATATCTAGGATATTATATATTCGATAGAAGTTCAACGAGCTTGGTCTATTTTTAATCCAAAGATTAATGTTTCATTTAAGATCATTAAATTTAATAGCAAAAGTTTATTTATTGAATCAGAAGTTAAAGGAATCTTTGCTTTTTCAATAACCCAAAAATATACACCATTCTGTGTTTCATTTCAAAGAAGAGTCAGGTTTTTAAAGTTAAGAATTTATTACTAACACTTTTAAAAATGACAATTTGAAATGACAAAGCTGACTACAACAATCAGTCACACACACATTCACACTCTGGTGGGGATGAGCTACAACGTACACACACCGTTTCCTTTAAGGTTGGTTTATGCTTGACGAGTCCGCGAGGTCCGCACGGTGAAATTGCATCATTTTAACAACCACGCCCCTCCACCGCGTCTCCGCACGGCCCAACATTTCCGCAACGCGCACCTAGGGAAATTTCTAACCACGCGGACGGACGGACGCGGAAAAACATGGCGGACCGGCAAGAACTAGTATGGCAGAGGTTCGTAAATACAGACATTTGTATGATTCAGCTCTCAAAGATCACCGTGATCAACATGTTGTTAATAATTCTTGGAGAGAAATAGCTCGCACTGTCAGAAAAGACGAGAACGCTGTTAAAAATGCTGGAATGCCATGTTGTAAACAGTAATTTCTACTTCTACTATGGTGTAGTGTTGGATGCATGCAGTAGAGCTCCATGCTGCCCCGTTCAGTTTGGGAGAATATTGGCTCACCGCAGAGACGAGCCGCATGAACCATAAACGCTGTGAGTTGTGAAGCGCGTTCCATCCGCGAGAGGCATCACCGCACGGAAAGTGAATGTGTCAAGCATAAACCAAGCTTTAGACTCCAGACGCTGGAGCCACAACCCAAAGAAAAACATTGGAGAGTTAAAGTGATCAAAACCACTCTAGTCATTTTGGACATAAAACAAAGGAACGACTCAAGACTTCCACCCAGATTCCTGCAGCACCTTCTAGAAGGTCAGGACACTTCAGGGCCAGAACCGATGCTGGTAGTCTTTTAGGGGATCTTACAGAACAGGTTTATGTTTACTGACCTCAATAAAAACCCACATTTCTGCACACCTAAGGCACGACAAAGGAAAGGAAACATTATCAATAACTTCATCTGAACTTTTCTGGAGGCTGTTGCAGGCCCGAGTAGATTTATGTTCTGGGTTTGTGTGGTCACGGATGAAATAGTCGAGGAAAGCTTTTTTTAATTTGCATTTTCCAAACTTTATATATAGAGTTAAATAAGGAGAGAGCGTGGTCTATGAGAGGATGCATGTAAAGCAGAAGAAAAGTCATCAGCCAGCCCATCATCTTCTCACCTCCATGTCTGCAGACTTGATCAGTGCTGCTCGTCACGTCTGTTGTGTTTAGACGCCCCCACAGCTGAAATAGCCACTCAGCGCCATGACACACTAACAGCCAGATCTCCATCCTCTCTCCCTGTCTGATGCTCACCTGCACTCTATCCTCCTCTTCACTCTTCCCTCTCCTCCATCCTTTCTGCTGCACTGTCTGCCAAAGGGAAGCCACAGCGGCTATCACACGGAAAGAGCCAGAATGGCAGGGTCCGCCCTCTCAGACTGAGAGAGTCCTACCTCCCGGCCCTCCCTAGTGGCTCTAACCTATTGTTTTGTATACTGCCGCCTCAGGCGCTTGAGTGTCTGCTGCAGCTGTACGAAGCTCGTGCTACCTTTGAGGAGTTTTGCATCCCGATGTGTATGCTTCCTGCCACCATAAGTAACAATGTACCAGGCACTGATCTAAGTATCGGGGCAGACACGGCCCTCAATGCTATTGTGGAGGTAAGACAGTTCAGTCTGCTGCAGCTTTCATCACTTTGTTCAAGAGTTAAAACCACACAGTTTAGATAGAACACTGCAGGAGTACAGCACCGGGTCGACCCAGTTCCATCCAGCTGAGGACAGGACAGACTCCCACATACACGTTTAAATGTTTCACATGCTCTCTCATCCTTTGCAGGAGTCCGACCAGTCCCTGAAGCGGTGTTTAGCTTGATTGAACCCAGTAAAACTTAAGAGCATGCTGATTGGCTGTTGTGTTATTTAGACAGTATGCTAACATGATGACACTAATCTGCTCTAGTGTTCATGCTGGTTAGATGAGCTACCACGCTAAAGCGTCACGTAGCTCAGATACATGTACACCTCGTTAACCTGCACTGACGCTGTGGGGTTGTGTGTGCGTGTGTCAGACTTGTGACCGCATCAAGCAGTCGGCCAGCGGGACCAAGAGGCGTGTGTTCATCATTGAGACCATGGGGGGCTACTGTGGCTACCTGGCTACTGTCGGAGGCCTGGCGGCTGGTGCTGATGCAGCTTACATCTACGAGGAGCCCTTTGACATCAGAGATCTGCAGGTACAACAACACACACTGGTCTGAATCTGGTCAGAGCAGGCTAGCCGCAACCTGTCAAACTAGCTAATGTTTATTCTTACAGGCGAACGTTGAGCATCTGACAGAGAAAATGAAGACCAGCATCCAGAGAGGACTGGTTCTCAGGTGGGACCTTTGAGAACGTAATCAGGCTGGAGCTTGACTATTAGTGAGGTTTCCATGACTGCTGCTAGAGCCGTTAACTGGTTCTTTAAAGAACATGTTCTGTTTCCCATCGGTGATCCACGTGGTCACAGTGCAGGGAGACGGTTTTTCTTATTTCTATAAACATCTCATAATAATACCAGAGTAGTAGAGAAATACATGTTCTTGTGAATGCTGTGTGTTTAACACCACCGTGAACCAGGATCGATAAACACCAGCCCGTGGTTCGTAAAAGGCAGGCGCTGTTTCTGAGCCATAAACTGCTGTAAGATACAGACGGTGGCCTCGTGTTGTTCTGCTTTAGACGTGTGGAGCATGCGTGAAGCAGAATAAAACTGAAACAAACCGTTTGGCTGAAGCCAGATCAGGTGCCTTGGTGTTAACGCCGTGTTTGGTGTGTAGGAATGAGAACAGCAGCGACAACTACACAACGGACTTCATTTATCAGCTGTACTCAGAAGAAGGGAAGGGGGTGTTTGACTGCAGGAAGAACGTGCTGGGACACATGCAGCAGGTAACCTTTCTCATTTGACCCGCAGCTTAGGTAGATCAAACCGCGAGTCATGAGAAGACACGACTCCCCAGACTGGGCAGCAGAGCAGGAAGTCTGCTCTTCCCCATTTTAAAATGTAGTTTTATAATGAAACGCAATTCTTTTCTGAAGGGAGGTGCGCCGTCGCCGTTTGATCGTAACTTTGGGACCAAGATCTCAGCCAAGGCGATGCAGTGGCTCTCCCAGAAGCTGGTGGAGACGTACAGACGAGGTAAAGCTGGTGGTCTCCGTGTCTGTGTCGTTACCCATGGTGCAGTAGAGGAGGCCCCTCCCCTGCAGAGACATGGCCCCCGTTAGACACCTCTGTCATGGAGTCTGGTTAATTCCTGATTATTCTAATGGCTTAAATTCAACTTCTCTTTGTTTCTGTGTCGTTTCTGTTACACACGGGTGACATAAGACGAAGGTAAATGTCTTTCATGCTGGCTCCATGACCATCTACATGTTTCTACGTTTAGCTCCATGTCCCCCGTCCCACTGTGTATCTTAGAGATGCACACATCCTGTCCAGGCACAAGGGGCACAACTGTGCCTTTGTCCACACGCTTGTCAGCGGCCAGCATGTGAGCCGTCTCCAGTTTGAGTCGTCTAAAAAAAACCGAGCTGGGCACGTGTAAGCATGGCTGGATGGATAAAACATGTTTTAGCTGCTTCCCCTCTCACTTCCTGTTTGTCCGGCTGTGTGGTCGCTGTAGTTGCCTTTTAGTAACGACCTTTATTTTTGCATCCTCTTCTCTTTGTGTTGGCTCATCACCTCGATGTCCCTTCATATAGACTGTGGTGTTTGTTCTCATGTTCAGATGCTGTCAGGTGTTTAAACACACCCACCATGAGCAAAGGTGTCCGTTATTAGGGGATTTTTATTGATGATTGATTTATTCCATGTTTCCAGAGGAATCCTCCTCTGCTTCATAATTTCATCCACCATATCATGATGCTGCCACCGCCATGCTTAGCTGTGCAGTGTGTTCTTTCTACTTAGTTATTTTTGGACAGCGCTCATCTGGGCATTAACCTTTCCCCAGGAGAGTTAACCTTTCCCCAGGAGACATTTGTCTCCTCCATGTGGACAACTACTGATTAGAGTTGTGCTTGAAGGTGTGTCTTTTGAAGCAGGAGCCTTCTTCTTGGTGCACATAGATGTAAAGCTGGTCTCAGTGTGGACAGACGCTGGTGTGTCAGCAGGTCCCAGTTGGTGGTAGGACTGAGTCTCGTGTTTGCTAAACGTCGTTTATCTGAGGCTGACGGATGAGTATTTGTTAATCCAGTGTTAGTTGAGGCCCGGCCTTGTTAAGTCCTTCTAGGACCTTCAGCACAGCTTCTTATAAACAGTAGAGGTATAAGATGACCTTGTATGAAAGAGAGAAAACGCAGTAAGATCTAATAACTACGTTCATAATAAAAGAGCATCAGTCCAGTCGTTAAACATCCTTAATGTGACAGCTATGCTCTTGGCGGGTGTGTGTTACCTGTGTGTCTGCAAGCTGCGCCTCGTGATCTTCTGAACATTTGCTGCAGGACAAGTGTTTGCCAACACCGAGGACTCCTGCTGTCTGCTGGGGATGCGTGCCAGGGCTCTGGTCTTCCAACCTGTTGTGCAGCTCAAAGATGACACTGACTTTGTGTGCGTATATTATTACCCGGTCTTAAATCCATTCTCTCACGCACCCCAACAACAAGACATCGTAACCATGGAGCATCATGTGTTTCTGCAGTCACAGGATCCCTAAAGAACAATGGTGGCTGAAGCTGCGTCCTCTGATGAAGATCTTGGCCAAGTACAAGACGAGCTATGATGTCTCGGACTCGGGACAGGTGGAACACGTCATCCACAGTCGACCCAAAGACTCTGACGCTTCAGTAGCCATGTGAAGACCCTCGCCTTGTGTCCCCAAAGTCCAGTTGATGTGTGTGAGGCTGAAGCGTGTGAGGTGATAGTCCAGGTGTGAAGGAGCGCTCTGTTTGGCCCCACATTGTGCTCATTTCCTGTTTCTCATTTCTTTTAGTGTCACTGTTCTATCCTTGAGCTCATGAACTCTCAGCTCCTGCAGTGCTCCTTTTATCACACACACACACACACACAGAGCCATCTTGCCATGAACTCGTGTGTTCTTGTGACCCTGGATGTTTAGTGTTGTTAATTTTAAATTGCACTTTCTCTGTCCCAAGTTGCTTAGACAGGCTCTGATTGCAGAGCTGCACAAGGACAGAATAGACACTTTATCTGCTGTGTGTGTGTGTGTGTATGTGTGTGTATGTGTGTGTCTGCCTGCCTAGCACGAGTAGAGGTTCAGTATATTCATGAGACTGATGCAACAGTTTCGCTGCTGCAGCTCAACTGACTTGTTGTGCTTTACACAGAGAACTAATATTTATAAATTTAACATTGTTTATTTTGCTTGTAAACATGGATATATTGATAACTGTACCGTAGAACCTGCTGTACTAAGTAGCTGTCTGTCATTTGCACCAATTTAGATGTGTGAGCCACGTTTACCATGGAATAAAAGCAGATTATAGAAGTGTACCATGTTCTGTCTATTCCTTTTTAAATGTCCTGTAATAGAAATCCTGAAACGCAACTTCATCAACGTCAACTTGGAAAAAAATATCAGTTTTGGTACTAAAATTGTAAAATAACAATTTTACATATAAACATCCCTGTTATCTGTCACTTTAATAAAGCAGGTGTCTAAAGTGGCCGAGGGTGTCGACACAAAATCACCTCAAATACAAAATAACCACAGAAAAAGTGAAAATGGATAAAAGAAAAAAACTAAACCCATAAAGATGCTGCATTTGTGCAGAATGTCAACATTTTTAACTTACAATTATAAAATATGTGCAGCTTCTGAATTTTAATGCAATTCAATTCAAAAATACTTTATTAATCCCAGAGGGAAATTGATTAGATCCAGAGATCTGCCTCCCATCTGTGTTCAGGGATGATGCTGTGTGTGTGTGTGTGTGTGTGTGTGTGTGTGTGTGTGTGTGTGTGTGTGTGTGGTAAGAAAAAGAGCTGTGTTGCTGCAGAGCCAGCAGATGGCGGCAGCATGCTGGCTAATCCTTGCCGCCTCCCGGTTCACCGGGTCCATGCTGACACGGATTCCCTCCATCACTTGCTGTCCACTCCTCTTTACGGTGGCTTATTTCTAAAACAGATTAACTGTGTGAGCCTTTGTGCAAGCGTGCATGAGTGTGTGTGTTGCAATAATTAGGAATTAATCTTATCATTTGAAAGAAAATTTCAATTTCCCATGGGTGTATTAATTGTGCATACATGTAATTGGGCAGCTTTTTCCTGGGTAAATTGACCCTTTTTTCCTCTGCTAACTGTAGTAATTGCATACATATATGTCTGGGTAGAGGCCACGGCTTAGTGACAGCGGAGTGACGGGATGTAATTTGAAGAAAAAGCAACCAGCATCACCTTTATTCCCTGCAGACTTTTCAGGGATAATAATTACTCCAAACTTTGAGTAATTCGGGTTCACACCTGCAGCTCTGCACTAAAACAAGACTTGTTTCCTTTCTCTATAATTTCCTGAGACCCCGCTGCTGCTGCATGGTTCGTTGTGCAGGCACTTTTGTGTTGCAGGCTGCCTCTTTCTGAGCATGAAATTAGAAAATCCAATAATTTGGGTTGATTTAAGAATGCAAGGGGCGAGTGCGGGGTCATATGCACATAGGTAATCAATACTAATTACCATTTCATTTCTCCCCCCCCCCCCCCCCCCCCACTTTCTTCTCTTCTACCATCACACGTGAATCCGATCTCACTGGACTGATTAAAGGTTGCAAATGAAGCGCCTGCACCTCCTGATTCTCATCAAAGGCCAGCCACACGCTCTGTAACTTTGTCTTCATTTAATTCTTCGTTGTCTTCAGACAAGGCCCCAATTATAAGCTTGCAGTGAATCTCCAAAATAGCTTGAGCACATTGACCTTTTTAGATTAAAAGTGCATTCTGCATCTCTCACAGACTCCCTGGAACTCTAATTTCACTCCTAACGAACCACAGCGGTTGGATGTTCTAGTGCTGCATTAACTAGCAGCAGCGCTTCAATAGATCACTGTGAAGGTAGACGGCTAACCGCAGCAACGACAACCAATAAATCCACGCCGGCTGGGATTGAAAAGGCTCCCCCCTCCTTCAGATGACTCACATCAGTGACGTTCATCATGAATGTTAAAACGAAATGATGAATCTGTGAAAAGAAAAGAAGACTCAGGACAGCAGAAGTTTTTAGGAGTTGACGCTGGCGGTGCAGGCTTACGGATAAACAAGCATACATTCCAGGACGTGGTTTTTTAAAGGGGGGATTGGATCCAGCCCGCACACACAACACAAGCTTAGACTTAAATCAACCCCACTGAGTTTCCCGCCAATTTAGGCCTCCCAAAATCCAGCAGACAAGAGCTCTGCAGCGCTCATCTGAGAATCTTCTGACAATTAAGACACCCATGGAGGCATGGAAAGCTCTCATTTCCATTACCCTCTGTGCCGCTTCGCTCTATCTGTCCACTGAGCCTTAACTCACTTATTAGTACAAGTCAGCCATATTTTGTTAGGGAAGTGATTAGTGAAATCTACATGAAAAGGCAATTTCCCTCTTCTTTTCTTTCTCTTCACTCCCTCACACTTCATTGAGATCAGACAGATCTAAAGAATGGCATTTGAGCACTAATGAAATTCGCTCTGCACCATTTCGGATGTTAATCTTTGGATGGAAGCGACTTGTGTCTTTATTTACTCGTTTGGGTGTGACAAATGGTCGGAGTTCCACTGGAGCTGGTGCTCCCCTACTTAACCAGAGGCTGGGAGCTGGGGCTGGCAGTACAGACCGTGGCTCCTCTGTGATGTATTGGAGTTAATATCTTCCTGACATTTCTCAGGACAGATTTTCATCACTGGATTCATCTGTACTTTTGGCGCTACGTGATAAACGAGTCGGGACATTTATTTTCCTTTCCTCTGTTGCATCTGTAGAGGAATGGCATGTGTGTGCGCTTGCGTGCATGTGTAAATACTGTGTCTATCCGCTGGTGAGATGCAGGGGTGTAAATCTTTGCATGAGCCTCGTGCATTGGTGTGTGTGTGTGTGTGTGTGTGTGTGTGTGTGTGTGTGTGTGTGTGTGTGTGGGTAGCCACAGCATGCCTGGCACAAGCGCGCTTGTGACAAGAAATAGACGGTGGCATTAACGGAAGTGACATTAATTTGACAGAGCGCTCACTAACATGCGAAGTGACTCGCAGTTCATAAGAATAATATTAACTCTGCATTAACATGCATGGCTGTCTGTTGCACCAGATGCCGAGCGTTTTGGAGAGCGGGTGCTGCAGCCCGTCTTTCCGGGCCACAGCAAGATGATGCCTAGAATGTGCAAGGCTGTTTATGGTAGCAGGTCCCACTGGCTGCAGGGAGACGCTCTCAGCAGTCTCTAGATGCGTAAAGACAACAGGACAGCAGGTTTAGATATCAAGGCATGTGACGCAAACACGGCTTTTTCAGTGTGATGAATTGCTGGCATGCCCTTGAGCAGAGCACCAACACACACACGCAAACACACACACACATATAATAAGCGTAGCCAGTGGAAAAGCTGAAGGCTATTTAGTCCAGGCCATTAACACTAATCAAAAACCACTTTACCTGATAAGAACTACAGGGGTCGTCTTCCAGCTACCGGCACCCACATCCCTCTTTGCTAATATTGAACGGGCTTAAACAAGGTGCCACTAGTAGAAACCATGAAGGTGATGAAGAGATACAGGTGAGAGTGCTAATTTGTAGCTAATCGAAACCGGGACCATTCGTTTGCTGACCCGAGCAATTAGTCTGCAACTGTCCAAAACCACCATGACCCAAACCTGGACACGTGGACGAGCTTTGAAGATTCACGTATGGCATGGTGAAACTGAAATGGGAAGACAAAATAAACACACACACACACACACACACACACACACACACACACACACACACACACACACACACACACACACACACACACACGCACACGCACGCACGCACGCACGCACGCACGCACGCACGCACGTATGCACACACACACACACACACACACACACACAGTCCCATACAGTATGGATTGAGCATTGACCAACCCTCATGAAAGATACAGTTATGCAGATGGACGAGAGGTGACTGAATAAAGGCCATAGGGGCAGCCTGATGCCCCCCTCCCCTACTGCTGAGCAGGCAGCTCTTCCAGGCAACAGAACCCTCCTGGTGACACAGAGTCACTGAAATACAATAATGCACAGCGCTAATTTTGTTTGCAGATATTCGAGCAGCTATGCATTGTGAATTAGAATGACGCTCAAAGATGCAGTCTTCCTTTAGAGGTACAGTTTCCAAAAATGCAGCAGAGCAGTATTTCTTTCAGCTGCGACTAACTCGAGAAACACGACAGACAAATCTTCAGCTGGAGTCTCACTGATAACCTGCATTAAAACTGCAAATAAATTGTGATATTTGTGCGAGTGAGACATTTTTAAGACCGATTTTAGCTGATTGTGATTTTAAAATGACGGACAAAACAAAGAAATGGTAAAAATGGGAAAAGCGGGTCACTAAGATCAGCTGGAATACTCGAGGCCCTTGCATCATGACCGGATAACAGTCACGTAAACTGGTGCAACGCGGTAGACCTCACTGACGAGGTCTTCAGAACTCAAGCTACGCTCAGTAACAAGAAGTAGCAGCTAAGACTGAAGCGAGCTGGGGACGGTGTGACTGCGGCAGAACAACTCAACAGTTCTGTGCAGGTTCTTGTCGCATCCTTCATCCTCCACTTCCCACACAGCCAGGCTGTCAGTGTTTCCAGGGTTTTTGATGTCCACACGCTCCTGACGGAAGAATACTGCCATTCACCAATCAGCGTGTTAGAGCCCACGTACGTTCTCAGAGCGGGAGTCTGTAGGTCAGCAGGGCGTCTAATGAGGAGCTGAGATGATCGTGTTGTAAAAGCACAGAAGATGCAGTGTCCTGCTGCAGATTTCCATCGCTTCTTACATGAATAATTCACATAATATTCCTCGATTTTATGGTCCTAAATATTCATGAGTGATAAGAGCTCAGGGCAAAACTTTGCCAAAACTTTCGGGAACCGTTCCAATGAAAACTCGCTCCATGGTTTTTGGCTGGAGTTGTTTTTGTCGTCGGCCCTTGCTTCTACAAGATATGGCAACATCGCTGCACGTCCGCTTTTTGTGTTACGTTGCGCCATCGCCGGGCAAATGAAATCATGAATTCACGGTTTGACACAAAGGAAGATGAAGGCATATTTGAACATTCAAAGGAGAGAGCGAGGGGAGAAACGGAGAGACAACATTCCCAAAATTAATTTTCATCTCCAGGGTTCATGCATATTTAATAGAGAGTGCTTGAATATCATAGGGTAATACTAGCCTGGCGCGCGCACAGAGGCCGGGCTGTGGAGAGAAAATAAACGACTGTGATCGTTGTCATGAGCAATAACTCTCTGCTGAGCTGGGAAACAAAA